AAAAAAAAAAAAGATAAAGGTAATTTGAGAGAAGTGCTGTGGGGACACAAAGAAGGGGAACATCCAGACAGGGGTGAAGGCTTCCTGGGAGCGAGGGCACACGTGAGCCAGGCGCTGAAGTGTCCAGGGAAGAGGGGAGGAAAGGCATTCTTTCTGCGGACTGTAGCGTGAGCAAGGGTAAGAACAGTGTGTGCTGAGGCAAATACCAGTTCTGTACAGATTAGTGTCTCAACGAGGAGAGGGACACTTCAGGTGGACAGGATACGACTGAGAGCTTTAGGTGTCATGATTTTTTCCTGAGGCTATGGGAGGGGGGAACCATCTTGTGAAGGAGGCTAATAATAATGTAAGGCCCATGTCAGACTTGTGTGAGACAGTGCTGGAGAAAAGTTTTTGTCTAAGAAACACACAAGCTGTGTCCAAGAAGTAATGTTGAAAGAATCCTGTAAAATCAATGAATAATTTAAGTTTCTTTTATCTAGTTGTGTCTGTCATTTCTAATTTTTAAAAACACATTTGCTATTAATTTGTTAATCTCATTGGTTAAATAGTATTGGCTTTAACCACGATTCCCATCTCTTTTTCTATGAAAGAAGCTAAAGATGGGGCACTGAGTAGCTCAGTCGGTAAAGCGCCTGCCCTCGGCTCAGGTCATGATCCTGGGTCCTGGGTCCTGGCTCCCGGCTCATTGGGAAGCCTGCTTCTCCCTCTCCCTTTCCCTCTGCCCCTCCCCCCCCATGCTCTCCCTCTCTCAAATAAATAAATAAAATCTTTATTTTTTTAAGATTTTATTTATTTATTTGACAGAGAGCGCGAGAGAGCACAAGCAGGAGGAGCAGTAAAGGGAGAGGGAGAAGCAGGCTCCCGCCCAGAGCAGGGAGCCCAATGCTGGGGCTCCTTCCCAGGAGCCTGGGATCATGACCCAAGCCGAAGGCAGACACTTAACCATCTGAGCCACTCAGGAGCCTGGGGTAGGGGTGGGGGGGAGGACTTAAAAAAAAAAGAAGTTAAAAAAATTTGGACTAGGAAACCTTTTAAAGAAAATATGAGGGAAACAAAGATAAAACCAAGAAGTTCCTATTAAAGTTGTCTTAAATTGTGAGTACAGATCTCTTGATTTTATTCTTGGAAATTTTTGCTTTTTATATAGTTAAAAAAGGAAAAGGGATTAGCAGGCTGGAGAGCAATACAAATTCTTTGTAGAACTGATGATACAGTGTAATTTAGAGACAGGGTCTCAGCTACAACTGTGAAAGCAGAAAAACAGTGAGAAACAAACTCATCAGATCTCCTGTATTCAGACAGCCCTCATGCATTACTTCAAGCAAAGCAAGATTGCATAAAAGCAAACATGCTAGTTCTTACAAACACTAAAATTACAGCTTCAGGGCGCCTGGGTGGCTCAGTTGGTTAAGCGACTGCCTTCGGCTCAGGTCATGATCCTGGAGTCCCGGGATCGAGTCCCGCATTGGGCTCCCTGCTCAGCGGGGAGTCTGCTTCTCCCTCTGGCCCTCCCCCTCTCGTGTGCTCTCTCTCTCTCTCTCTCTCAAATAAATAAATAAAAAATCTTTAAAAAAATAAAAAATTACAGCTTCAGAAGGGAGAGGTTTGTGTAATAACTATGTACTAAATGCATAGTTATTACAAATAAATCTTGCAGTCTAACCACCACATTCATCTTTAACATTGCTTTCTGAAATCACAATAGCAATTTTATCTGCATTTTCATTATATATATTTCATTATATATATTTCATTACATATATATCTGCTCTTTTTACCTAGTAAATTGATGTTTCATACTTTATTTAAAAGTAAACTCTACCCCCGACATGGGGCTTGAACTCAGGATCATGAGATCAAGAGTCACATGCTGTATCTACTGAACCAGCCAGGTGCCCCTATATGTTTTATACTTTAAATGGCATCTTAGTTTTTCCCAAAAAGACAGTGTTTGCATTTTAATTTTATATGAAATAAACATCTGCAGCCCTAGAACACTGTCATATACTGACCATTCTTGGAATTTTTATATTGTTTCTTATTTATATTTTTTAAAAATTTGTTCTTTTTGATGATTGTGACTCGTAATTCATTTAAAACATAGCCCATTAAAAATGATCAAATTAGTGAATTTATGATCAAATAATATTCATCAATGCCAGCAATGGTGTAGCAAAATAGGTAAATGCTACTGGTGGGAATATAAATTAGTACAGTCTTTCTGGAGGGCAATGTGATGATACTTTTTCTTTACCTTAAATATGATTATACCCTCCACTTACTGTTACTCTTTGCGGGATTCATCCTAAGGAAATAATAGAACATACAGGTATATTATTTATAATAACAACAATAATAAAAGGGAAATGGCTTAAATATCTGGCAATAAGAAAATGATAACATAAAGTATAATACATTCCTATGATGAATTATTATGTAGCCATAACATTGTGTACACGAATTTTTAATGACATAGGAAAAGTTCCTGGTATAATTAAGTGGGAAAATAAGATATAAGACTTTTGTATCTTATTTTATATGTAGGATAATCTTCCATATATTAAAAGTGGATCCAAAAACTGGGTCAAAATTGATTATCTCTAGATGGTAGGATTATCAGTAATTTTTCTAAATTTTCTTGTACTTTTACAATGATTTTTAACGCTTGACTATTAACATACAATTGAAACAAAGTTTGCTAATCTAATATTTACATAGAAATTACTACTGACTTTCAACAAGGGAAATCTCTTTGGCAGATTATAAATAGTAGGGTGTTTCAAAATATTTTTAAAATCCAAAGACTAGGGGTGCCTGGGTGGCTCAGTCATTAAGCATCTGCCTTCGGCTCAGGTCATGATCCCAGGGTCCTGGGATCAAGCCCCGCATCGGGCTCCCTGCTCGGCGGGAAGCCTGCTTCTCCCTCTCCCACTCCCCCTGCTTGTGTTCCCTCTCTCGCTGTCTCTCTCTGTCAAATAAATAAATAAAATCTTAAAAAAAAAAAAAAATCCAAAGACTAAAGTTCTACGCAGTCTGGAAGAAACAAGAGCTTTAACATATGTCAAACCCTCTAATCCCCAGCACCCAGAAAAGTACCTGAAACACAGTAGTGATTAATAAGCTCAATGTTTATTAAAAGTGGTCTGAAGCACATTATTTAACCAAACAACTGGAACTAATAATTTCATTTTTTTCCTGTATAAGGTGAAAATTCTCTGCCTATCTCTTATATTTCTGTATTAAATAATACTTCAGAGACTAAAAGTTGAAACAAACTCACATCTGAAAATACTTGTACTAGAGATACAAAGATGAGTAAGATGAGGTCTAAAAGTATGTGCCTGGGTAATCAGGCCTACCCTAAAGAGACTAAGAATAAGTTTTTCCAGAATTACCAGGGAAAAAATTTATGGATTTTCTGGAATCAATCCTCTCAATTCCTACCTGGACACATTCTTTATAAAGGATGTGGATTAAAAACAAAACAACAGGGGTGCCTGGGTGGCTCAGATGGTTAAGCGTCTGCCTTCGGCTCAGGTCATGATCCCAGGGTTCTGGGATTGAGCCCCACATCGGGCTCCTGGCTCAGCGAGGAGCCTGCCTCTCCCTCTCCCTCTGCCTCTCTCCCTGCTCATGCTTTCTCTCTCTCTCTCTGTATCTCTGTGTCTCAAATGAATAAATAAAATCTTTAAAAAACAACAACAACAACAGAAAAGGTTGTGGATTGTTTTGAGGAAGTAATGTTGGCCTGAAGAGAAGTAAGTAGCAGCCTATAATTTGAGGGCCTATGAGCAAACTGGATTTGAAGTAGTTATTTAAGATCTCTATAAATACTGCCATCTTATATTTGTTCCAAAATATTTCTCCAGTCACCTGTCACTATAGGAAAAATTTCACCATTGTTTCTTTTAGTCTTGAAAAACTCAGTCTTTAAAAGTTACAGTGAAACTGTAACTTAGCAATATAATCTAATAATGTAGAATGAGTTTCTGTTAAATATTTATTCTTGGTGTTAATGTATAATACCGTTATTTCTCAGCTTTCAAATTTTCAAACAGTGGCCTTGCAGTGGGACACTTCCTGGTATGGAAGGCTAAGACCTGAACCTAGAAGAGAGGCTTTTCCAGAAGAGAAGTGAATCTGTGAAAATAACACTAATGGTGCCTACTTCAGTTCTGTACAGCATTAACTTCGAGGATAGACTCTTATGGAATAGTCTGACCCAATATTGTTGTAATTGTTAATACTTACTAAATTCTGTGCAATTATCTCAATCATCTTTGGGGACTGGACTGAAATGAAGAGAATACTCTTTGCTGATCACTTTGGAGGGGGGCAACTTATTAAACTCTTAACCTGAAAATAAACAAAATGAATTATATTGAGAAGGAAGTTATTTCTCTGAGTAAATTGTTATTTTGAAAATTAACCCTCTGAAATACTATGTCAGTGGATTTTTTATAAATAATTATTTCTTTTCATATTATGAGGAAACCTAATTAATTTGTTGCCATCTATGTTTGCCATGAGAGAGTACTTTTTCAATCATTCCATATAGAAGAAACCAGGATTTAGCAATAGGAATTTTAGTTAATTTGTTTTGTGCACGTAAAAAAAAAAAATTTTTTTTTCTTATTTTTAAGTAGGCTCCATACCACAGTGTGGAGCCCAACATGGGACTTGAACTCAAAACCCTGAAATCAAAACCTGAGCTGAGATCAAGAGTGGAATGCTTAACTAGCTGAGCCACCCAGGTACCCCTGTTTTGTATACTTCTTAAGCTGCTCAGGAACACCAAAATTAGCTGTATCAGATATTTTATTGTTTTTGTATTAGAGAATGGAAGGAGTTGATATTAACTTTTCAGACAAATAATTTTATAAAAGAGCCAGGTTGAAAAAAATACAGTATAAATAAAAGTAATATAGAGACAGTTTGACTTCTGAACATAGAGGAGGAAATTTTATTAGGTAAAAGCAATGCATTGAAAAAATGTAACAAATTTCCCATATAACTCAGTAACTCCATTTTATACTGATATACAGAAAATAATCACATTATAGAATGCATTTATATCACGTATAATTATTGTAATTCATTACATTTGTAGTTTAGTACAGTCAAAATTCAATTCATATTCCTCTTCTGAATCTACTTCTACCAGTCAGTCAAAAATTATTTGTTGAATCTCTGCTATATTGATCTGGTACCTTTAATTATCAGTAATCTTTTATCTTGTCTGTTTCCTACTTGTTAGAAGTCTGCCGTTTTATATGGTTCCCAAGAGATTAGCTATAGTTTTTTATTTTGTTTTTGTTTTTTATAATCTAACACTTTTCTAAACTTACTTCTCTTGAAGCAGTTGAACTCATATGAATTTGAAGTCTTTAGTGGATTTCTCTTCTCCCTTCAGGCCCCTATACCCACTATCACATTCTAACTAACTTTATCTAATTTTTTGTTAGTCTGATTAGTAGAATGAATATTTAAGTTATCATCCCACTTTATAGCTAGAGATTTTAAATGACTTTACGTCTGCATATACTATTATGTATACTCTAAGTTAGATTTCTTTGTGTAACTCCTTATTTAAACATTTGAAGAAATAGATATAAAAACAAAATAAGCATTTCTGAAAATATATAACATGATACTGCATAAGAAACAAAATAATAATAATAATGAATTGGATAGACAGTTAACCAAAAGTAAAACTACAAGTATATTCACAATAAGGAAATAATATGGCTATAAGAGTCATATGGTTAAGAAATGTGTTTATGAGCATATATTTATAAAACAAATTATTTGAAGCCAGGTTAAAATCTCATCAAACATTTCATTTCCTAAGGAAAGGTTTTTAAAAACACAGAAATCATTGTTTCACTCAATACTCAGTTGAGTTTTATCTTGAAATTTGAAAGCTGAGAAATAACGGTATTATACATTAACACCAAGAATAAATATTTAACAGAAACTCATTCTACATTATTAGATTATATTGCTAAGTTCAGAAGAAAATAATGTGTCTTAAGATACATTCTTTTTGTTGTCTGTGATTTATGAAAATCTACCACTATTGAAGTAATAACCACTTCTGTTTTTCCTTCAAGTTAACAGTCTTAAAAGGGAACTTCATTAATATTAATAATCAAGTTTGTGACTGATATATACAGTGAAAAAGAGGAAGGGCAAATGTTACATTACAATGAGTAATAACTACATTATCTTGTTAAAATATTGGTCTCACATTTTTTTTCTCTGTACCCACATCTTTTTATTTATACTCTACAGATTTTGGGGTATAATTTTTTTAATTGTCTAACTACATTTCATAATATATAAACTGTGATTCAGATTATTTTAAGTTTAGGATTATATGTGTTACACAGATATGTTATTATCTTTTTATAATATATTTATAGTAGCCTAGTAAGCCCTTTTATTTTAGAAGGGACCATGGAAGATAATTAGCATATAGAGTTTCATCTTAGTGTAGCTTTAACCACTGATGTCATATGAATATTTTAGTTACTTTTCTTGAGCAGATTTTCCACAAATACTAGGAGAGTCACTATGAATCAATTTTGTCACAGCAAAGTGATTCCAAAGTGATCTTTACTGAGTTTTCTTGGATCCTTGAAACTGGAACTTTTGGGATTGATGAGGTTTGTCAGGAAGACAGAAAAGATGGTGTCACTTCAGATCTGATATTCCTGGGTCTGGACTTAAAGATTATCTGTTGAAGATTGATTCTTCCCCATGTCCTCTCCAAATTCAGATCTCACTTCTCCAGAGGTTTAGAAGGCCCTATTTCACCACTGCCACACAGAAAAAGACAAAACTCTCAAGAAAAATAGTATTACAAGTTGACTGCTTTACAAGATACAACATAATTCTTAGGTCAGAATTTCATGGCTTTTGGCACCAGGCCAGCACAGCATTACTACAACAAAGAATGGGAATGAAAGCATAGTTCCTGGGACTTAAATTTATTTAATTTCTTCCTTAATGTAACTCATCGTACCCTTCAAATACAAGGTATTCCTATTACTAATATAATTCTTCAGCTTTAAGGGCACTTTCTGTTTTCTTGCATGATTTAAGCTAGAATGGGTAGGACACATGCCATATGAAAAGATAGGAGGTCAGCCAGGTAGAGGAAAGTAGGGAGGAAGGAAGCAGTTAGGAAGTGTCTTCCTTCAAATCAAATAGTTTTACATACAATGTACTTTAACTTTTTTTTTAAGTTTACTTATGTAAATAATCTCTACACCCAAGGTGGGGCTTGAACTCATGAGCCCAAGATCAAGCACCACATGCTCTACCAACTGAATCAGCCAGGTGCCCCTCAATGTATTTCAACTTGTTAATGGTAAATCTCTGGTTGAAAGATAGATCCAACAAATTTAAAAGTTCATGTTCTTTTTACTGAGTGCCTTCACCCATCGAGCTAACATTGTTTTCTTCAAATATTAAATGTTGTACACTCTGCAAATGAAAATGAAGTACACACATACACACACCGAGGAGTTTTCCTTCCAGTTCCTAAGTTCATAACTCTCCTAAACTGCCCCAGTGATTCTGGGTAGAATTACATTTTTTGCAACAACGCATTGCCCTAGTTTTTTTTTTTAACAAAGTGATTGTGTTTTAAAATATTTTGTCCCACATCAGGGAATGCATAAGTATTTGAAAGAAAAGATGACTTTCATAATCTGGACAGAATTATATTTCTGTCATCTAAAAATGAGCTCGGCTGATTCTGACTGGTATAAGCAATTGGTTTAAGTATCCTAAAAACAACATAGTAACTTTCAAAATAAAGCTTAATTGGGGGCTTCATAGGCTGTCTACCTGACTGTATTCCTTTCTCAAATAGGTAAGTACAGAGGGTTATGCAAATTTTCTCACATAAAATTGTTAATATTCCTAATTCTGAAATGAAATGTCTTTTACATATTTGTCATCCCCCTGGCCCTAGAGTTTCCTGTGCCTTCTTATTGAAATGGTGATTAGTATATTGATACATTCAATTCGGAGCCAAGTACTGGATTGTAATCTTCACACCATCTTTTCTGCAAATGAGTAAGATAATGAGAAATTATAATGGCTTCTGCCCCCTAGTGATCTGTGGTAGATTTTTATAGGAAGGATGAACAATTCTGTCACTACCAATGGACCTCAATGATTTGGTTCTCCTAAATAAAAGGAAATAAATAGGACTTAAGCTTCTTAATGCTAAAGTCAACTAAGCATATGAATATAAACAAGTAAATTAGTTCAAAATTAGCATGAGTTCACAGCTGCTATTGTCATTTAGTTAATATTCATATTTACTAATACTCAGACACAAAAGTCCTTGCATTTTGAATCCTTGCATCTTTGCCTTTTGTCAGCAGATAAATTTGTAAGTAGCTAAATTTCATCTGGTTTTAGTAGGAGACTCTACCCATATGTTACCAAGTAATATGTCCTTGAGTTTGACAGAGGCAATGAAAGTGGGCCACCTAAGTGATTATATAGACATCATCTGTGGAGTCTTCATTACCTTATTTTTCTGTTTTCACTTAAAAAATAACATTTGGCAGATGGTAGAAAGACCATTAAAAGTAGTAGACCATTAAAGTAGTAAAGTAGTAAATTTAATATAGCAGTAGTAAAACCTATTGCATAGGTTTTAGAAATCAGGCAATAGATGCATAAAGTTAAAATCAGATTAGATTGGGAGGGGGATTGTTTCACTTAAAGCATTAAATGTTCATGTTTGCTGCTAAGTTAAGGTGCATAAACAGCTGTTTCCTGTAATTATCTTTCATTTCTTTTGAGTAAGACTGTCTTTATAAGTTAACACTAAATATTTTTGGTATTGAGTTATAAATAGCTAGAATAATAACCTTTGTTTTTAGACAAACTTAGATTATAAACTTTAATCAATCACAATATGGCAGTTAGGGATTTTGTTTTGTTTTTTTTACCCAAAGAAATGACAATTTCTTCATCTATTAAGACAAAGAGAGGAAACTGGTTATTCTGGGGTCCTGGTTTTTCTTGGGAATATTTTCAAATGATTTGAATGATTGAACTCATCAGTCTCATAATCAATAAAATGGTGATTGGCTGGAGATTAAAACATAAAGGTCAGGAATAGGGAAAACAAGAAGGGAAAAAAGTCACAGAGGTAGAAATATAGAAGTTGAATTCAAACTAAGGTTTTTTTGGGGGCACTTAACAATGGGCCCTCCAAAATGGCTGATAATACCACTAAAGGTTTAAGTTTAAATAAAGGAAAATTAAACCATGTCAATATTTAGTATTTATTTCTAAAACATCATTCTGAGTGACCCATTCAAATAGATAGTTTTGTTTCCAACTGATATATTTTCACATTATCCACCATGTTCATTAGGTACCCACTACCTTACCAGGCACAGCAGACCACAGATGATGAACATGGAGCACAGAGTTTCATAGGAGCTTGATAACCTGTGTTCCTAGGCTGAAAAGGCCCTTCTTTGTACCTCTTGGGAGGTGAGGTATGTGGCTTAGTGCTTAAGTACAGGCACACGGAAATCAAAGAGGTCTAGGCTCAAACTCCAGCTCTAGTGTTTAATTTGTGTGTGATCTTGGGAAAAATACTCCAGTCTCTCTCAACCTCAGTGCCCCATCTGGAAAATTAGAATAATACTTACCTCATACAGCTGTGAGATTTAATTAACATTGTGTATTGTAAAGCACTTAGCAGAGCCTAAAGAACACTACCTAAACGGATGCCAGGCTTACTCAGTGAGAGCTCTAGGATGGACGTATCACAGGCGTCCAAATCTGGCAGCAGCTTCAGGCTCTTAACACCCCAAAGAACCCTACTTGCTTCAGTTCACTGGCATGCACCCTGTCACCCTGTGCACTACACCTCAAGTATTAAGGAGATGGGGGGGGCCTTTCCCAAGGCTATGTCCTCACAGAGCTTTTTGGCACCCTGGAATCCTAGGTGTTGTTAAGGTTAGGGTGCCTGCACAACACTGGCATTTATCACCATTCTAGAAGCATTTGTTACAGAGGAGGTGGGGCTGGTGAGGAAAGATGAGGAACTGATCAAGTAGATTAATGGCGAAAAAAAAAATTTTTAACTCATAAAACCCATTAAAAATTAAGAAATACACCAAATTCCTTTATTTTCAATGTGTACATACACATTCAGGTTTTTTCTTATGATTGATACTAGTTTACCTTTTTGTTAACGATGGCAAGTTTTAACTGTTAAGTTGGTTCTTTGAGGGGATTTTCCAGGCATCTATTAAATATGTAAGTTCCTTAACTAGGGGTGTAGAGGAACAAGTATTGTTTAACCAGGGAGAAAGCTGCCAACCACCACCAGTCTCTCTTCCCAGTTTTTTAGAATATAAAAGTTGGTATATCATCTCTAGTATTTAGGCACATCCTTGGCATGTTCACAGCAACTGTTTTATTAGGCATTTTATAGCTGTAATTATTTTAATGTATCAATATTATTTTAACCTATCAAATTACTTAAATCTCTGCTCTCACCTAGACAATTCCAAATGTTTTTAATTCAACTTTTACATTTTTGTTCTCAACTACGGTACTTAAATATGATTTTTCATTTCAGTCTATTGTTTTTCCTTTTAACTGATGCTCTGACTGCCCTAGCCAAGTCTCTCCTTATTTTAATTCTTTTATTTATTTTATTTTATTTTTTTTAAAGATTTTATTTATTTATTTGACAGAGAGATAGACAGAAGAGCACAAGCAGAGGGAGTGGCAGAGGGAAAGGGAGAAGCAGGCTCTGCACTGAGCAGGGAACCCGATGCAGGACTCGATCCCAGGACCCTGAGATCATGACCTGAGCCGAAGGCAGACACTTAACCATCTGAGCCACCCAGGCGCCCTTATTTTAATTCTTTTAGTTTTATAACTAGCCCCTGGGATACTTACGTACTTTCTTCTAAGTTTTGTCCATATTCAAACTTCATACGTTAAACATTAGCCGTGTATCATTTTATGCATGAGTCATTTCTCTGAATATTTTTACTTTAAAAATATAGGAGAGATTAAGACAAATTTCTGAGTCCTACTCCACTGCCGCCCTGTTGTGCTTTATTAATCTGAGATTTTTAGTCCTGTTACTAAAGAATTATAAACCTCTGAGTTGCACTCTAACTAGTGACAAGCTTGTTTAGGCTCTGACTCCATTTCTCCAGGATTTCTTGCTGGAGAACTAACAGGCCCTTTAAGCAAGATTCTGTAAGACATAAGCTTCCTCATCGATCTGTCTAGATTTTCCTTTCATTTTTTGGATTTGGAGCCTAATTACATAAATTGAGAAGGCAGCTTCCACAATGTTGATTCATTGCCTTCCCAGCATGGAGGGCAAGAAGCAATAGCAAGGAGGTACAGCTCTGTAACCCCAGCAGAGGAAGAAAGTCGGAGGAAACTGGGTTGGAGAGCGGTGTCAGACATTTTTCATTCCCCTTAAGAGGCAAGAACCCTTTAAATGTACTCTCTGCCTTCATAAGGAAAACCTGTACATGACACTTACAGAAGCCTGTGCTGCCCTATAGCTAGTTCCAAAACACGACACAAGGTGTCCTGTGTAATATGAAACTGGGAGACGACAGCATGGTGAGGTGGTGCTTTGTGAAACCATAAACGTCTCAGTTATGTAAAGTTAGATCATGTTCAATGTTTATATATTTGCTTGCTAATTGTTGACTGTTAGTACTGTCAGAACACTAAATTATCCCTCCCCCCTTTTCCTAATGAACATATAACCCTTTTTACAGCATGGTAGTATTTAGAAAGAACCCTATTCTTTAATGGTGGGAAGCCATTGCAATAGATTTTCATGAGGGTCATGGAAAAAAGTGATCCCCCTAAAAATTATGTCTACCTAAGATACTATATAAATAGTTTAGAAATTTGGAGTGAGTTTATCTTCTCTCTTTAGACAAGCCTCTGATGGTCTCTGGGTTTGTTACAGAACTTTTAGCAGGTTCCTATCAGTAATGTATACACCATATTTCATTTAAGGTCATTTCAGATTGAATTCCTTGATAAACTACTGTGTCCAAGGCTAAGATGAATCACTTTTCCTGCTTTTTCTGCTATGTGGCTTTTTTTTTTTAAGATATTTAATTAATTTATTTGACAGAGAGAGACACAGCGAGAGAGGGAACACAAGCAAGGCGAGTGGGAGAGGGAGAAGCAGGCTTCCCGCCAAGCAGGGAGCCCGACGTGGGGCTCGATCCCAGGACCCTGGGATCATGACCTGAGCTGAAGGCAGACGCTTAACGACTGAGCCACCAAGGCGCCCCTGCTATGTGGCTTTTTAAAAAAACTCCTTACTTCTCATTCATCTTTTAGTGCATTTCCCCCATCTCCATTTCCCATTATTTTCTCATACCACACGCCTCCTGTACTATTCCTATTTTTTCTTAACACCACAGTGTATCCCCACAAATCTCTGAGCTCACACTGTGCTCTATTCTCTTTCAACTAGATCTGTTAGTCAATATGTCTCTCAATTCTCTTGGCAATGTATTCTTTTATGCAAATTGTATAGAAAAATATGACTTGCGTATCTTAAAAATCCAATGTAAACAAAAAGAGCAATGTTGTGAAGTTACTGTTCATAATTACAAAATTATACTTTAAATAGGGATGTTATTTAAATCCCTTGCATTATGAGAAGGGTATTACAATGCAAGTAATTCACATTAAAAGGCATTCTATTCAATAGATGTGTTTATTGGTGGGGTCAGTTTTGCCAGTGTTTTATTAATTCACATGTAATTCATATAGACCCTGTGTCAGCAACACCTAACAATACTACTTGAAAAAGTGATACACTATTTCCACTTATATGCTCTGTGATTATTTTATAGTGCTCAAATTTTGTAGTCCTTTACAGAAAAAAAAAAAGAAGAAGTAAAAGCATGGTGATAAAACTGCAATTTGCCACAACACATTTCCTCCAAATCTTAGTATAAAACACAAGACATTTTTTTCCACACTCTACTTTTATAGAACAACCAGATTTGTAATTGATTTCTTTATTTTATTTGATTTATCAATATACATGGCAGCTTTCTCAAAACTCAAAGTTCCAAAAGTATGTAATTTTAAAGGTGAAAAATCATTTTCCTTTAGATGTCATATTCCTAGAGAGCTATTAAAGTCTATTTATAAACAAAAATAATTGATAAACTAACACACTTTAGAAATCAGAATATCTTAAATTATTTTAAATGAATACAAGATATGTCTTTTTAATTAACTATCATAGTTAAATTTCATATCACAAAACAAAATGACTTGTCCCCACTAATTTCTCAAGTGAGGTAAAGTCATTGGGTTTTACACTTAATATAAGTTTTAAATGTGATTATTAAATGATAATATTTTATCAATTATAGGAAATATTCATTTATAGGAATTTCCTTAGGTCCATCAATGTTTTTAGGCCAAGTTTGAGCCCATGTCAACCTTCCAAGTTTAGAGTCAATGCACCTAACCTGCCTAATAAGCATGTCAATTTAAGAATATGAATTTCATTGATAAGAAGGGGGAATAAACAGTGGCTAAATCACTGTTCAACTTACAAAAAAAAAATAAGCTAAAAGTAGATGCGATAGTTTCAAAGAACTAATTACTTAAAAAAAGTTTTTTAAATAAACATGAATGGCCAATGACGTTGGATTTAAAATTTCACAGGATAACCTTAAAAAAAAAAACAAAAAACCACATAGAAATAGTAAAGTCATCACCTTATGATTAAAAAAACTAAAGTTTAATAGTCATTGAAGAGGTAACAACCACTTGTAGTCTACATTGAAAAGTAATTTTAATCATAGCTAAAACAAACTAAAATCAAAGAATTCTATTAAGAAATAACAAAAATGATAAACATTTAATAACACCTAAAATGTAGATACTTAAGATCCTAAACAAAAATATTAAAGGTAAAAGGGCCTTGAAATTTTTTCCCAACAATTCATCTTATAAGATCAATTTCTAAATAGCTCATATCCTTTGCTTTGGTGTTTTGTCTGCTATCAACTAAACATTAGTACAGTAGAAGATCACTTATGTTCTTTTCAAATGCTTGGCATTATAATGTGATCTCATATCTTTCCTCAAATTAAACTTTGCTCCACATATTCCACATGTATACAGATGAACATCCATGTGCTGTTCCAACTGTTCATTATTTGGGAATATCTGAAAGCAGACCTGGCATATAGTCTCACCAGCAGATAAATGAGAAATCATATGCCGTACATGGTCATGTTTTCTGAAGTTTCCTTGATCACAAATGGAACAGACATACCTGGCCATGCCTTTGTGCATATCATTGTGCAGTCGCAACTGACGTTCTCTTAAAAACTGCTTTCCACATGTCTGACAAACAAACTGTTTTTCCTTAGTATGAACAGTATAGTGTTCTCTTAAGTGACACCGCTGATAAAATCCTTTTCCACAGAGATTACAAAAATGCTTTCGTCTGTGATCTCTTTCATTTTCTTCCATGATGGCACTCTTAAACACATCCTGGTCTAGGCAGCTAGACATATGTTCAACCACTAGATTTTCAGTTTCAAAACGCTGGCCACAATTAGGACATCGAAAAGGACAGGCAGAATGTTTAAATAACTGCTTTTTTTGGATACTGTTTATCTGGAAATGATTGTCCCTAAAATCATCCAACATTTCCACAAACATATCTCTTATTTCTGACTGCTCGTCAGGATTCTCTTCCATGTCCATCTTCTCCTCCGTATTTCCTAACCCGTTCATTGTCAGATCCTGGGGTTCCCCACATCTTTGAGCATGTTCCTGAAGCTGCCTCCCCTTAACGAGGATCTGTCCACATTTCCCACATGCACAGATATTTTCGATGTGTTTGGCTAAGTAATGAGAGGACAGGTCCTCCTCCGTTATTGTGAGTCCGCAGAGCTCACAGGATGCATTTTCGGGATCCTCCTGTACTGGACTGCTATTGTTAGGGGGCCTTATATTTTCTAAACCACCCCTTTCATCAGCATTTATCGACATTCGAGGTTTTAGAGTTTTCCTACCACTTTTCTTAATACCGATATCTTCTTCAACATAGTATCTATAAAATGGCTCTTCAGGTTCATCTTCTAATTCGTCATTGTCAGTGGACTCATTACAGTCTTTATCAGTCACTTTAATAATGTTAAAGTCTTTCAGTTCATCTGTGGGAATATCTTCCGGCTCCATCTTGATAATGATTCTTTTCCTCTCAGCAGCTCTGCTTTTTTCCTCGTTGGCTAGTTCAGACTCCACTGTGCTACTTTTTCGGCTTCCGGTGGTTGAAGTCGAATCATCAGCAGCCTGGCTGGTGTCTCCTCTGTATTTGTCTGTCTGTGTGGAAAACGCTTTAGAAGATTCCTTTTCACCAAATTCGGCTTTGATAGTACCATCTTTTCCATCTCTAATATCCACTATTCTGTGATAGGATCTTGTGTTTTGGTACGAATGTCTGTTAGTACAGGTTAGTACATGCTCATCTAACAATTTTTCACAGCTAAAGCCAAATCCACAACTATCACAGGTAAAACTCCGTCCAAAGCGCCGTGACACGCGTTCTTTTGGAGCTGATAATTTGGACACAGAACTTTTTTTACATACATCAAATAGTGGTTCGGGAAAATTGCCTAACTGTAAAGACTCTTCATCAGGCTCTCTATTGTGTGGTGTATTTACTGTTGAACTTGGCTCTGCACACCACCTGTTGGCTTCACTGCCATTTCTAGCCACTGTGTCTTCATACATTCTTACCCCAAATATCATTTTGCTGTTCTGTTTGCTGGAAGCAGAAGATGAACATTTTGAACTAGAACAGTCTGCATCCTGAATGTCTTCTAAGCAGTCGGGAACGTTGTACAGCTGCAGGTAGTTCATCGCCACTTTAAACTGCTCAAAACTGGAGGGTGCAGTCATAATCTTTCCTAAGTACATAAACTGCAAAATGAGATCAAAACACTCGGCACTGATTTTCATGTTGCTGAGATTCAGCTGTGCGGTGCTGTGCTGGTGGTTCATGAAAAACATTCTAAAGTAGGAGCTACAGGCAGCCAGAACGGCTTTGTGCGCTTGAAAGTAAATGTCGTCGATGGCAATGCAACAGTCACAGAGAAAACCCCACTCCCTCTGGTTGTTCAGCTGCTGGAGGACGTAGCTGCTGTGGCTGGGCTTTGCCATCTTCTGTTATTTACAGACCTATGTGAAACAAAAGCATTAAAGTCAGACAAGATATCTTTAGAAAAGCACTTGAAAAGAAGAATCACTTTGATCAGACACTGGGACGTGCGTGATTTTGCTATCACAATAAAGGTATAAATGGCTCTCCATTCTAATGTAGCAAAACTCAGTAATATACACCTGAATCATTTTTCAGATGTGAAGATGAAGATAACACAGCCATTTATTCAAGTTTCTCATTTTGATTTTAAGAAAACACAAGCTAAGGTATCCGAAGCAAAAACCATCATTTTGGTTTCATCACACCTCTATGGGGGAAAATGTATGCTAAATGTGAAAGGAAAAAGTTTAAAAGTACCTGAAGGATACAAACAGTGAAAGTAAATAAAAGAGCAACTTAGACTGAAAGTACATAACTAAATTACAGAGTATTAAAAACTTCTCACAAAATTGATATTAAGGAACTATTGCTCATTTTTTAAGTGTGATGAGTGTATTTTGGTTGCGTTAAAAAGAGTCCCTATCTTTTATATATACATACTGACATTTATAGATGAAATGATATAATCTAAAATACACTAGAGGGGCTCCTGGGTGGCTCAGTCATTGAGCATCTATCTGCCTTCGGCTCAGGTCATGATCCCGGGGTCCTGGGATCGAGCCCCACGTTGGGCTCCCTGCTCGGCGGGAAGCCTGCTTCTCCCTCTCCCACTCCCCCTGCTTGTGTTCCTTCTCTCACTGTGTCTCTGTCAAATAAATAAATAAAATCTTAAAAAAAAAAAGATTAAAATACACTAGAAAATAATCCAGTGAGGTGGGTGTGGGGGCAATAGATGATACAAGATTGGCCATATGTTGATAACTACTGAGGCTGGGAGATAGGTATAATTCTATTTTTGTATGTTTGAAAATTTCCATAGAAAAAATTCTATTTAAAATGCTTATTAGATTATATGGAAATGGCCACAAGCAAATAGGTTTGATCAATGCCTTTTTTCTTGATTATTAGGGAAGCAGTCATTCTGTAGAGTCAGAATATGTCTTATATCGCTGGGCATGCACACTTTAGGGTATAACAAGGCAGTGGATCCATTAGGGAAGGAGGTGTCTATCCTTAAATGGTAAATTTTTCTTCATTTTTTAATTGTTAAAAAAAGTATACAAAGTAACATGTGCAAGAAATTAAAATATGTAAGTAAATAGAATAAAAACACACCTTAGGTCACATACCTCTTCGCAGAGGTAACATCTCCAAACACTCTGGATTGTGTATCTTCAGATCTGTTTATATGTATCCATACAGAGTCAAAGGATATTGAGTACCTATGATGTGCCCAAGTACATAGTTTTTGCTCTTGCGGTGTGTGTGTCTGTTTTTTCTTAACCTAAATGGTATCATCCTTTTTTTTTTTTTTAAAGATTTTATTCATTTATTTGACAGAGAGAGAGCACAAGCTGGGGGAGCTACAGGCAGAGGGAGAAGGAGGCTCCCCGCAGAGAGGGAGCCTGACCCGACGCAGGGCTTGATCACAGGACTCTGGGATCATGACCTGAGCTGAAGGCAGATGCTTAACCAATTGAGCCAGCCAGGCACCCCCTAAATGGTATCATTCTATATATACCTTTCTGCAACTAGTTTTCTTCACTGAACATATGGTAGACATTATAAATAATATTAATGTAGTGAGTTGACTTTGGGTAAAGAGGGAGAGGAAAACATTAAAAGCATTAGAAGCCCTATCCGTTATATTATAAAACTAAAATAAGATCCAATTTTAACCTCAATTTTTAATCTGTATACATAAAACTTCAGAATCTATCTTCTACCTAAAACAAGTTCCTACACAATCTGAGCATAAAAAGAACATTTAACAAGCTGTTCAGAGAAATAAAATGTTCACTCTTCAGTCCCCAAATCCTTGAATCCCTGCAGTGGTAATTAAGAGGTATCTACAGCTTATTTCCACTTGCTTTTTATCTGCTCATCACAGATCACATGTGGATTACATACCCCTTTTCCCCACTACCTGAAGACCTATCCTACCTCCTTCTTCCTGTTCTTCCTGCCTAATGACAGAGAGTTGCACAGCCAGGGATGTGCCTCTAGAAAGGAAGGTGGCCTATAATGAGACCTACTGCCTTCTTTTTTTTTTTAAAGATTTTATTTATTTATTTGAGAGAGAGAATGAGAGAGAGCACATGAGAGGGGGGAGGGTCAGAGGGAGAAGCAGGCTCCCTGCCGAGCAGGGAGGCCGATGCGGGACTTGATCCTGGGACTCCAGGATCATGACCTGAGCCGAAGGCAGTCGCTTAACCAAATGAGCCACCCAGGCGCCCAGAGACCTACTGCCTTCTTAAAATTGCAACCACTGTACCATTTTTGTAAGCCAGGTGAAGCATGTCAAATAGATACAATCTTTCAACCTTTTCAACCTTCTGTAAATCAGATGTCTGTACCCAATGAGGAAGAATGCTCAGTATGTACCTAAATACAAAAAGCAATATATGCACAAAGATACTCATCAATGTTATTTATAAATTGAAATGCCTGGTAATAAGGGAGTTGTAAGTGAACCAAGGTAAATCCACCTTTACCAAGGTAAATCCACTACCTAAAATTCACTATCACGTGGCCTTTAAAAAGTATATAAAACGAATCCAAACAACAAAACCTTAAAGGGTGAAAAAAAAAAAAAAAGAAAAACACACACACAAATGCTGACCCTAAACCCATTTTATATAAGATGAAATTTCTAGGTCTATAGTCATTCTGTGGGATTCAGAGAGAACTTTAATGGGTAATAAAGAGAAAGAGGCAGAAGGATAGATGTTATCTCAAAAAAAATTTTTAGTAATAAGAGTTGTTAAAAAATGAAACAAACTCTTTTGGAGGACAATGGATGCCCTGTATGGAAGAGGGATGAAATGTCACTGAGGACAGTATAATACAAGGAAAAGAACACAGGCTTTGGATCTGAAAGACCTGAGTTCCAATCTGGCTTTGCCACCTTATTTATCTTCACTGACCCCAAGTTTCCTGAACTGTCAAAGTGGGGATAATAATATGTCAAATAACACATCAAACATGAGGATTTGTAGAAGCAATGTGTAAAACATACAGTTCTTGACATGTGATAATTAATGGAAGTAAGACTGGCAGTTGCTTATCCAAGCATCAGGAGCTAAGTTTGACTAGATAACCTTAAAATTTCCTTCTAAGCAGGAGTCCAGTAGAAGAAAGCCAGCAGTTAATCTGCAAGGACTTTCAGGTTTTAAATCTCCTGTGCTTAAAATAATGACATAAAGAGCTTAAAAGTTCTAAGAACTCTTCTAATCTAATGGAAAGCAGTTTTATGGCCAGCCACCAAACCTGGTGCAACGACATACACCACCAATGTGACAGGCACTGCTACGGCTGTAGCCACAATTCAATTACGGCAGTAAAAATAAATTCTGTGTTAACCTAAGCAAAACACAAAAACAGGAGCATCAACGGCATTTTAATGCACATCTGTTAATGCAACAAATATGCACGGAGTGCTCTGGATGCCAGACGCTATACATAAAGTGCCAGGGATCGACAATAGCACCAGTATTCTGTGATCTCGAGGAGCCATCACTGAGGAGAATCCTGACTTTTTCTACATCAGTGACTTCAGTCAACATGTATTCAGTAAAGTACCTCCGCTGTGGAAGAAGGCACCATGCTCTGGTGGAGAGAACGAAGAAGGGCTCTGGGTCAGAAAAGCGTGGGTGTGAATCCCACTGTCTTCAGATGTCTCTCTACATCCCTACCTTCCCCTCAGAGCTTGAGGCTGAACAAAATTCATGCTAACGCTACAGCTTCTAGGCTGACCTCATTACGCAAACATCCACGTTCCAGTAAAATGGACTTTCAAAGGTAGGGTAACTGTTCATAGCAGTCCTACACATAGTAGTGCCAACAACTTTGTTCTTGTTACACCTCACTCAGAAAAGCCTGGAGAAGGCCAACTAATAACACAAAACAAAACAAAACAAACCCCCAGAAAACAGAAGGGCATGGAACCAGGGGTGAGGGATCTAAATTCCTGTGAGACTTTTAGAGCTTATCTCTTGGGAATAATTTTTGCATTAAAATTTAAAAAATTCATTCACTTAATTAAAAACAATTTCACTCAAATTCCAAAAGCAGTTTTCTCCTTTCAATTTTTTGATATCCTTAATAATCCTACCAAAAGAACCTTAACTTTATCTTATAGTAAAGCTTGCAAACGTTTTAAATAAAAGGATTGCTTCTATTTTAGCTGTTCTTCTTTTTATTTTAATTCCAGTAAAGTTAACATACAAGTGTTATACTAGTTTCAGGTGTGATTCAACACCTGCATACAACACCTGGTGCTCATCACAAGTGCGCTCCTTGATCCCCATCACCTATTTCACCCATGCCCCCCCCCACCTCCCCTCTGGGAACCATCAGTTTGTTCTCTAGAGTTGAGAGTCTGTTTCTTGGTTTGCCTCTCTTTTTTTCCCCTTTGCTCATTTGTTTTGTATCTTAAATTCCACATATGAATAAAATCATCTGTTATTTGTCTTTCTCTGATTTATTTCGCTTAGCATTATACTCTCTAGCGCCATCCATGTCATTGCAAATGGCAAAAATTCATTTTTTTTATGGTTGAATAATATTCCATTGTGTATATATACCACATCCTCTTTATCCATTTATCAACTAATGGACACTTGGGCTGCTTCCATATCTTGGTTATCCTAAGTAATGCTGCTCTAATCACAGGGGTGCATATTTCCCTTTGAATTAGTGTTTTTGGGGTGCCTGGGTGGCTCAGGTGGTTAAGCAACTGCCTGCAGCTCAGGTCATGATCCTGGAGTCCCGGGATCAAGTCCCGCATCGGGCTCCCTGCTCAGTGGGAAGCCTGCTTCTCCCTCTGACCCTACCCCGCTCATGCATTCTCTCTCTCAAATAAATAAAATCTTAAAAAAAAAAAGAATTAGTCTTTTTGTATTCTTTGAGTAAACAC